TGTGCTTTGTCCTAAAGTTATCAGAATCCATTTAAAAATAATAAGTTTAGTTGCACACAGAACAGTAATATAAAGGGCTTCCTATAATTGAAAAAGTGGACACTCTCAGCTAGACAGAAGGAAGTACATGTGAGCATAGTCCAACCTGTGCAGCGATTGTTTGCACGTGAAATCATGAAAAAATCAAATCAGGTTAGCTTTGCTGTAATCTCAAATTAAAAAAATTATGGACATAGTATGTGATAGTTCAGTAGGAGACATGAAATGTCTAGGTGGAAGATGTGAGCGGAAACAGATTCGATATAATTCCACTGTGTCTTCAGGAAGTACAGAGCCTCTTTAGTCTTCTGTGAAGGGTTCCCTGAAGTGAGTGGCATCGAGACTCTTAGGTAACAGATCGATAAGCTGATTCAGAAATAAGTTTGAAACCAAAAGGTGTATAAAAATTTCAAGAGAGGCCGGGCTTGCTAAAACAGATGTTGCCTCTTTCCCAGCAGAACTAACAAGTTGGTTAAGGAAAAAGAACAGAGACTCAAACAAAACCCAATTGTGTTAAAACCAGACACTTTCTGAAGAAGACACCCAGCAGAAACTATATCCCAAAAAGTATGGAGGAGTTGGGGCTGGAGAGATGGCTCAGTGGCTAAGCATGCTAACTGTTCACACAGGACCTGGGTTTGATTCCCAGCACCCACAAGGTGGCTCACAACCATTTGAAATTCTAGGCCCATGGCATCTGATGGTCTTTTCTCTCCTCCATGGACCCAAGACATGCACACGCACACAGCTATACATACAGACAAAACAGGTCATACACATAAAATAAATCTTAAGTACAAAGGACGTACCATAGCATAAAACATGAAGGACAGATTAACTCTGTCATTGTGTGGCAATATCACAGCATATGTAAAAAACGCAGTTATAGTTACCAGAGCAAAGAACCCTGAGACCCTGAAAATCAAAATTAAAAGTCACCTGCCCTTGTTCTAAGAAGCTCAGCATAGGTGTCGGCCATTTTATTTATGCAAAGGTTGTACATAAGCTTTAACATAGAAAATGGGATAATACTTCAAAGAGGAAAGCTTCATAATTTAAAGTCCTGGTAATCAGAAAGTGCCCTTTCAGACATCCTGAACCAGTTTGCTATGAAAATGAAAATGTTAAGGTTGTATTTTTACCCCCACGGTCAAGTTGAAGCCACTGGGGCCAGGGAAATACTTGGCTTGTGAATGCTGCTCCTCTTACCTGGTGATTCATCACATTTGGCTGGCCATTGACACAGACCCTTATTTGGATATGCTACAGGGCTGCAAGTCACTCACTACTGCTGCTGATGCAGTGACAGCCATCAAAGCTGCAAGGGATGAAGTAAAGCAAGACCTGCAAATGCCTTAGGGATATAAGGAGTGGAGTCATGAATGAAATGATGGGGAAGTGAGAGAAATCATTCATGTAGCCAGTAGAGTTGGTGAAGGGCTTGCAGGTGTGCCTGATGAAGATGCGGACAAGCATATCAAAGGCCACCAAGAGTTCATTCTTAATGATAATGGATTGGAAGGACCAAAGGACTCATTCACAGAGGAAGAAGAAATTGATGCTGACCTGGCAGTATGGACATGGTCACTTTTTCCCAAGCATTTTTCATTGCATAGACAGCATAGGACAAAATGGAGGAGTGTGATTCTCTCTAGACTACAAATGCAAATTTACCCAGACAAATACTGAAGGGCTACAACCCTCAAAACATCTGATGAGCCAAAGAGAGAAAACAACTTCCAGTCTGATGTTTCCAAAGGGTTTTGATAGACACCTATGGTCCTTGGATCATTGATATTGTCATTTCTGGATATCTAGCCATCAGCATTGTCTCATCTTAATCATGATCAACCAAAAAAAAATAATCTCCTCATACACCATCAGCTTATGACCTCTCAGAGAATAACAGCGTAGACCATTCACCTCAGCCATCTGGTTATGTTGTACCGCCTCATCTCTGTGGGGTAATTGTGTAGGAAGTAATCAATATTTTTTTTTTTTTATTTTTCGAGACAGGGTTTCTCCGTAGCTTTTGGTTCCTGTCCTGGAACTAGCTCTTGTAGACCAGGCTGGCCTCGAACTCACAGAGATCCACCTGCCTCTGCCTCCCGAGTGCTGGGATTAAAGGCGTGCGCCACCACCGCATACTTATGGAGGGAGAGAGTGATATGCACATAATCTTATGTTGTATTCTGTCATCAGATATGACTAATATTCTACTGTGCTTAACATTAGTGTGTTACCTATGGAAAAACACAGTACATCTAGGGACCAATATGAATTGAGGGCATCAGTGGAGAACTTGAGATGTATTCTCCACATTTAAGGAAGGGGCACTGTGCTTTATAACTGTTAAGAAAGCTAGCAATTAATAGGAATTAAATAGGGGCAGTGACCTGATCAGATTGCAAATTCAAGGCCACAGACTCATCCAAGAACCAAGTGTTGGGTTTGTACCACAGTGGTGGGGTATTCGCCTAGCTTGTGTAAAGTCCTGGCTTTGATGCCCGACACCGAAAGAGTGGGTGAATGAAGCAATCTAACAAGACTCCTGGGGTGGTTGTTAGAAGGTGGCAGTAGCAGCAGGATGGAGGAGAAGCAGAGACATGCTGAGGTTACGTTGGTGGCAGAGGCAGGGCTTACAGGAAGGGCATTTTGAAAAAGCTGCTGGAATACAATTTGTTTCCCTCCATCTTTTCTTCCTCCCCTTCTTGTCCATATTCGAGGCTAACCTCAGGCTCACTAAGCAGTCGGGGTAACCTCTTGCCTCTGCCTCCTGAGTACTGAGATTCCTGTGAGCTCCCACACCTAGTTATTTTACTTCTTTCTTAGATCGCACAAGACCAATGTGACACATTGCTATGGGATACAAATAGCGAAACTTAGAGATGAAGTCCACACCTCTATCTATCCGCCACCTGCCCCAGCTCCGTGGCTGTTTTCCTTAGAGGACACTGTTATAATTTAGAAAAAAAAAAAGCGACATGCAAGAGAAAGATGCCGTGTTACAGAGCTCAGGTGGAGGTTTTGTTTGTTTGTTTGTTTGTTTTAATTGGGAAAAGTGAATGGGCAAAAGGAGAGGGAAGACCAGCTTCTGCAAACATGAGCAGCAGAAGAGAAGAGAGAGAGGGAGAGGGAAGGAGGGAGGGAGGGAAGGAGGGAGGGAAGGAGGGAGGGAGGGAAGGAGGGAGAAGGGCAGAGAGACAGGCAGAGAAGCAGAGAGAGAGAGAAAGAAAGAAAGAAAGAGAAAGAAAGAAAGAAAGAAAGAAAGAAAGAAAAAGAATAAGAGACAGGAGGTGAGCAAGGCCCAGCTTTTAAAAGGGACCTTAGGGAACATGCGCAGCAGGTGTTCTTAGTGGCTGCAGCTGAGGATGCATCCCATCAGGACCTCAAGGGCAGGCCAGCACAGATGCCTGAACACTAAAGGCACCAATGTTATCGTTCTGAAGTGTATCCTTTTTGGTTTTGTCCTTCTCGTGGGTACTCTGAGTAACAGATAGTATCAAGTTTTAGACATATAATTTACACATTTGATACACTTTACCTGATTTTTTTCTAATATAACCAATATCTTAAGAGGTTTTTTCTCTAAGTACATAGTAGGTCACTTCATTCTTTGGCTGTAACACAGTATCCCAAAATACAGGCTCCTTCTGTGTCTTCCTTGGTGGGTATTTAGTTTTGCTTCTCCAATTTCTCTTTTCTAGTGAACAATCTGGAAAGGAAATGCTTTTATATGTATCCTTCCAAGTTATCTCTTTTCTCCCCATGGGTGGTCGCTGGCAACTGCGGTTTCTGCTCCCTGAGTGTGCATCCTTGGGTGGGTACTCTTCTGTTTCTCGACTCTGCTGTTGTAGTCCTGTATAGTGACGGAATCCCCTTAGCCCATGTTCTCATCAACCCTGGCTTGGATCAAGATTATCTTCCCATTTATAACTACTCTATTATGGTGTGTATTTACCACCATCTAACACTGGGTGGGGCTGCGCAGTTTCATTGCCTCCTGTGCTCCTGTGAACTGCCTTTAACTTTTGCTTGCCAGTTTGGTGTACTTGCCAGTCTGGCTTTTCTTAAGAGTTTGTAGGAGTTAAAACATATTTTCTACCCGAATCATTCCTTTGCTTTATACCACCAATATCTCCATCAGGCTCTTATCTGTTCTTTGTGATGTGTTATTATCTTTCACGGGTTCACATTTGTCAAGTGTGTCAATCTTTCCCTAATGGGTGATGTTCGTAGGGATTCCCAAAAGGCCTTATTGGTTCTACTTCCCCTGTGCACAGTGACTGGATGTCCTGTCATGTGTAACTGGTGAAGTTTGAGTTTGAAGTGTCTGTGGGACATACATGCAACAGAAGCTCAAACGGCCGATGGGTATTTTAGAATGGAGTCAAATTCAAGTCTTTCACTGGAGATACAGACTGGGTTTCCCAGAGTGGAGGGGGCATTTGCAAGTGGAAGTCTCAGGACACACAGGGAGTATGCTATGCCAATGGGACTCGACTGAATGGCAGCAATGTAGACAGAGGGATGAGCTAGTCACAGGCACACTGGGGCAAATAGGGATGCTCTGTCTGGCTTGACAAGCATCTGGTATGTTACTTCATGGAGGAGAGGCGGGGTTCTTGAAGGAAAGGAGAATGCCTCACTCCCAGTCTTCACTGAAATTAAAAAACAGTAAGTGTGAGTAGGGATAACAAGAGCATAATCCAGCGTGGCCAAGAGAAAGCTGGGGCCAGAGAGGATCGAAAGTAGTTAAATGGGAGTGTGGCGTGTCTCTGAACAGGCGCCGGAAGCTGATGGGGCAGCCGAGAGAGATCAGGCGCTCAGCAGGTCATCTCTAAGTGATGATAGCTTTGGCTGACAGCCCCGGTGCCCATCACTTGACAGCCCAGAGTGTGGTTGTTTGGGGACTCGGTGAGTCAAGTTCACACCCCTGCTAACAAACACAAGCACCCACATGCTGCAGACAAAGTAAAATTTATTGAGACAGACAGAAGTGCGCCTACTCGGGACTACAGGTAAGCGGTTACTATTAACCAAAGAGTCGTGTTCACATTCCATAAAAGTCTACATGGAAAAGCATTCAGAGTACTAGATTTTCTACATCACTACTTCACCTACAATAGGGACAACAAACTGACAGTCTGGATTTGATGGGGTCTTGTCACACGGCTACACATTGAACGGGGACAAACATCAGTGACTGTGAAAAGGTGTATAAAGACCAAAACCGCCCGTTGCAGAAAGGGCTCTTGGATGTTACTGTACAGTGTGGTCAAGATAAAACAAAAGCAAACCCAACGCCAATGGCATTGTGGAACGAGCAGAGGGCTGACCTGGATGGACAAGTCATCATTTCCGGGAAAGGTGGGGATGTGGGCATAAAGGAGGAGCTGAGAGAAAGCCACATGAAGGCATCCCCATGCTGAGAACATCTGTAGAAACCAAACACATTCATATGGCAGAGAGTGAAGCCTGTGGAAGAGAATTCTGGGGTTCAATTGAATGCCACAGTAATGGCATTAAAAATAACTGCTTGTAGAGACAGTAACAACATCAATGGAAGGATTCCTGGAAATAAGGCAGTAAGGGCTCAACTCAGTACCTGCTTACACAATGGGTCGGTCATCCCAGGAGCGCAGACGCTAACAGCATCAGATGATGCTTGGAATGGGTGGGATTATTTTGGAATCAAAGGCTCCATCCAAAGAGGGCAAAAGAAGCTCTGCGTCTCGGGAGAAGGTAACAGAAAGTCTAATTTTAAGTACTATTACAAGTAACTGTCTTTAAAACCCCAGTGGGGCACGACAGTGGCAATGGTGCTGCTTTGTTGATATGGGCTCCAGACGTAGGAGGGCTTTTGATTTAATATCTTAATGAATCAAAATATCTTCTTGGAACGTCTCTGCAAATGACATCCCATTACCTTCCTGGGAACTGCCTATTGAGTACTCTTCTCCACCATCAAGATAATGTTAAGGAGCTCTGAGTGTCATCTTAATGTGACACTTGTCATACGATAATTAGACAAAGTAAGTGGTTCATTGGGTTCCGAGAAGTTTCTCCAAGTGAAATCAATTTGCCGATTGTTAATTTGTTCTCTTGTGCATTTTTTCCAAGCTTGAAGGAAATAATAACAATGGCTTATGATGACGGCCTAAACTGAGATTTCTAGTGTCTTTTTAATGTATCCTATTATCATTTAGCTGCGATTGAGCACCTGCTTCCTAAATTATGATCTAAATTATGATCAGTTTTGAGGGTGAGAAAAAATGAAAAACAAACTAGAGGACTGGGGAGGATGTCATCAAGACCCCGAACTGAGCAAGTCTGCATCTCCGTAGAGAGGAAGCACGCAGAATTCTCAACATCCGGCGGTACTTGTATCTACCAGGCCAAGGGAGCAAACGGCACCAGAGATATCCATTTCCCACACGAGAAGAATTCCTGGACCAGTGCAACCTTGTCCATCCTGTTCTAGGATGGAGATGCTAGTGAAAGAGGCTTACTACATACAGAAGGCCAGCTTGGGGTGGGAGACGGGTTTGACCAAATACACTTTTTGCCTGAGTTAATAGATCTGTCTTGTGGACTGGCTAAAACTCACTGGGAAGGCAAGGACAACGAAGAGATAGTGTTGGCGGGCTGTGGCTGGTTAGGGCAAAATAGAGGTTGTTTCTGATGAATCGTGGCTGGTTAGGGCAACTGGCTAGGTAGGAAGCAAGCAGGCAGAGCTCGGGGAGCTGGCCCTGACCTGAATGGGGCTGCGCTGGAGTCTACTCTTTGGTACTCGTGTGGAAGAAATCTGGGAGAATACAGAGATATTGTTACTGAAACTGAATGCCAATAATGAGCTTAGGCCAGCTTCTTGCGCTACTAGGATCTCTTTCTAGGTCTCCGTTGGGATTTCTATTAAATGAAGGGTGAGAAAGAGAACCCCTTAGGGCCTTTATCTCCCCCGTCATGATCTGTGTAGAAAGGGGGTGGGGGAAGGAACATGAAGAACACGAAGAACCCTATATTTTTTTCCTATGATCATCATGGTGCTGTCTTCTCGGCGAGTATAAGCTCAGTAGGAATGCCTCAGAAAAAGCCCTTGAGGGTAGGGAAGGGAGCTGCCACAGTGGGGATGCTGCATCCTGAGGGGATGTTTAGCTATATGAAGGAATGGCTTGTGAAGCTGCCCAAGTGGGAGTTGCATGGCTTCTGTGGGGAAACGAAGCAGTTTAGGCAAACAGGCTTATCCAAATCAAAAGGGCTTCTAGACACTTTGCAGCTGCATAGAGGAACCTCCCCAGCCTGCAGGCTCCACAGGCCAAGTGTCAGTACAAACAGGACTCCAAGAGGAATTTCATACCCCAGTTTGTGTTCCGCATCTGGAGTTGCTGATTAAAAGCCGTGGTTTTTCTAAAGTGTTTTCGGTATACAATCAGACACTCAGAGGTGTGTAAGCAAGTCATGCAAGCACAGACACCTGTTTGTGGATGTGCGAGTGGCAGGGGAAGCATCAAGACCTTAATTTCTAAAAAAGAAAATGAATTCTTTCTCCAAAGGGACTTGGACTGAATTAAGGCTGTCATTCGTAGGAAGCCATTTTTTATAACTTTTATAATTTTATACATTTTATGATTTTTAATAAACATCGGAGGTGGTGGGAACAGAAGGAAAAGGAGCAGTGGTGTGGTGTGGTTTCCACAACATCTACAGGACACAAGAAAAGCACTTAGACACCATAAGGCTGGGAACCATGCTGTAATAACCACCGAGGTGGGTAATCAGAGAGGGTCTTTGACGTTTGAGAGGGTGGGGCTCCCTGCACTGCTGGATTCCGCACAAATCACATGCTAGTTGCAAAAACCTTACAGGAGGGAAGGTGGCTTTATCTGAGCCAGCCCTTCTCTCATCCGGTGGAAACAAAAACAAACACAAACAACATCCTTTCTCCCGCACAACTGTATGCAAATTCAGAACGCTCTGGGAAGGGGTCTTCCAAACCTTAGCCCTGGTACAGAGAGAACAGCAGAGGAGAGACCCGTGGGCCTCGGAGTCTTAGATACAAATGCAGGCAAAGGAAGCGACTTGCAAATCTGCCAAAAGCATGTCCTCTCCCTCATGGGCACTACCATATGTACCCAACCTCGTCTTCCTTGTCATCGTCTTCGTCCTCGTCATCCTCCCGCACAGCCCGGGTGTGCACCCTCAGCTTCCCCTCCCGGTCCTTTGGTCCCAGCTCTCGCTCGTCCTCTAGATCGTCCAGCAGGACCACAGAGCCACCGCTGCCGAAGTCCCCCGACGTTTCCTGCTCCTCTTCTAGCAGGGGAAGGAAAGACCTCAGGTTAGCGCCCACTGTCCCTCAAGGCCCATGCGGACTCCCTAGGCTCGTGACTTGGGTTGTAAGATAAAAACCAGAGCATTTTCTTCTGCAGTGTGGGAGCTCAGATTGAAACGTCTCTAGGGCTCAGCCCTGGCCCTGTGGGCTGCTCTGATGGAAACCTGTCCAGGTTGATGTCATGTCAACTGGACACATTAGGTGGGAAGATGCCTCCATCAGCTTCCCTGTAGTCAAGCCTGTGGGACAATTCCTAGATCAGTGATTGATGGGGGAGGGTGGTTCCATCCCTGGGCTGGTGGTCCTGCGCTGTATCAGAAAGCAGGCTGAGCAAGGTATGGGGAACAGGCCAGAAAGCAGCATTCCGCCATGGCTTCTGCTTTAGTCTCTGCCTCCAGGTTCCTCCCCTGTGCCTGCCCTGAATTCCCAATAAGCCCTTTTCTCCCCGAGTTACTTTGAAATATGGTCTTTATCACAGCAATGGGAAGCCCTAGAGTACCCTGGGTGCTTCAGCCTCGTTAGGAACACTGCAGTCCTGAGTGCTGGACCAGTGACCGTCCCCTGACTCACAAGCTCTTGTCTACCCAGTGATACTGGTAAAGATCTGCTCCTAGCAAAACCGGCTCTGCATGAGGTCATGGAATTCCAGCATTCTGTCTCCATGGCAGACTCACTACAGCCAGAGCTGGCTCTTGAGATTCTGCCATGACCCCTACGCACTAAGGACCCCTGGGTCAGCCTGGGCTGCTGCCGGAGGCTTTACTCACCACAGCTCACGGTGCCCTGTTTCCTGGAGCCAGCCAGCTCATTCCCGTATTTATCTACACACCAGCACTGCCCCGTGCTGCCGTGACACTGCGTGGCTTTGTAGTAACCCTCCTCGTTACACCGAGGTACGAATGCTCCTGTGGGGACAAAAGGGCCAATTTCAGTCAGAGAAACAAGCATGGAGGCGTGGGGTTCATGCCATTTAAGACAGGGAGGGGGGGTCACACGCAAGCCGCAGATTGGCTGTAGGGTCCCAGGAAAGAATGGGGCTGACTGCTTACTATTTTGTAAACATTATGGGGACCTCAGCCTTGATTAGGAAGTGTATATTGGATTCCAAGAAACTCATTCCCCAACTAGACTTGATAAAAGTCAAGAGCATTGTGTAGTTACACACATTCCGGGCACTAATCTAACCATGTGCATTATATATTAAACATGTTCACATAATCTCTTTCCTTTGGATAAACATAGAAGTAGGACTTTTGATGAGTTTCATGTTTCTGCTCAAGTAAGCTTGTGATGAAAATTCAGAGTCTGATCATTAATCTTAATTAGCAACTTGATTGCATTCATATTAGTAAAGCCCATCTCTGAGAGGTGTCTTTGAGGGCATGACCTAATCAATGGGTTAATCCCCGTATTGATTGGTAATAGGCTGGCATTACTGGACATACATCAGTGTAGAAAAAGACATGGACAATTAAGGGGGCACAGGATGGCAAAGCAGCCCCTCTCTCCAGTGTCTGAAGCTTCAGGACAGTTGAGAGTAAAGAAATATATAGAAAAATGTTATTTAAATTAAAAAAAGAATTCCACTACAATTAATATTTTCTGTAACGATTGCCCACAGAGCTGAAATTTTCAGGTAGGGCCCATGCAACACCTCTTTCAGATATTTTCTGAAATTCTCACTGGACAAGGCTCCCAGTTTCTCATGAGCCTCTGTGGTGTTGGGTTTTAGCTCATCAGCTGGCATCCTTCCAGCACACCTCAGGAGCCACCCTGGGATCTTATTTAGATTCCTAGCAACCCTTTGAAGACATAACTTCACAACCCACCAAAACTGTAACTTTGGCTGCTGTAAAGACAGTTAAGAGTCACCCTCCTGGAGAAGCCCACATCTGTAATCACCGAGTGCTGGCCCCAAGAATCCTTTCTGTGGTGAGATCAGGGGTCTGGCCTTACCTGAGTGGAAGTCCCTACAGGAAAAGGAATGCCTCTGCTGGCAGCCATGCTGGGCTGCTTTGGCTACTGTGCTCCTGCTGACAGGAGGGGATGAAAGGTTGGAGGCGGGGTCTAGTTAGAGACTGGAGGCCTGTCAGCTTCCTGCGTTTTCTTGATGTAAACTGCCCTGCCTTGATGGGCTGACACCACCACATCTGTGAGGCAGAATGCGCATTTTCTCTTTAAGCAGCTCTCTGGTGTTCTGTCTGTGATGAGAAGCTAAATATGCTGTTTCTTTAAATCATTTTACAGCTCCATCTGACAGTTTGACCCACGGACCAGCAACATAATCTAGAACCCCTTTAGAAACGACTTTCTTTTTCTGGTCATGAGTCAAAAGTTGATTTTTATTTTCTTTTTTAAAATAATTTGTGTTTACCCCACGTGGCCGAGTGTTTGTGCATGCTCTCTCAAGCCTGTGCCTGTTCACAAGCGCCCATGCCTGCACGCTTGCTTATGAACTGTGTGCATGCAATTCTTATGGCGACCAGAAGGAGGCATCAGATCACCTGGAACTGGAGTTACAGACAGTTGTGAGCTGCCATGTGGGTGCTGGGAACTGAAGCTGGGTTTTCTACAAGAGCTGTCAGTGCTCTGAGCCGGGGAGTCATTGCTTCAGCTCCCTCCAACCCCAAGTCAATTCTGAGGGCCAGAAATACCTTCCCTCTATACTGAGTTTGGATTGTTCAGCTTTAAGTTAGGACCCTTTGCCTCATACTGTCAAGCTTTCTTCTTTTCATTAGCTTGTTGAAGGAAACCAACCCTTCCCAACGTGCTGTTGTTAGTGACCCTTATCTCACTGGTTTATTCTTTGATTATTTTTGGTTATTGTGTTCTTGGGGCTTTGAGTTGAACATCTAGTTCTGTGCATTATTTTTGATAATGTGTTTGAAGTGATGTGTGTTTTCACCAGCTTCACCTTGCTTCTGTGGAGTCTGGTGGATAGCCCTTTTACATTTCATCCAGCTGAAAATAGTTTCTAGATTTTATTTTACTTCCTTGATGTCTCTTTTCGTTACTGTCTGGGCTAGTGAGTTTGAGATGAGATTATTAAAACTGTTTTATCTGTGGGGCTGCCCGTGACAGATATTTGATGCAAACCTGCATGAGTGCATATGTAAATATGAATGTTCATCACATCGCCCAATTATTCTATATCCTATTTGTGTCTCCTCGCACTGTGTTACTTGTGAACGTCTATTATATTTAGTCTTAAAGTAACCAGCGCTCCGACAGCCTAAGACACATCTTACTTTTCAGATGAAGTATTTGCTTTCCCAGCTGTTTTCACGTTATATCAAGAACATTTTCCATTTTCTCATTTCAACTTCCTGTACAAAAGTCTTAGGTGTGACTTTGAAGACACAGCACTTCCTGTCTCATATGTCCATATGTCCCATGTGCCCTGGTTGTGATCAGACTACTTTGTGCTTCTGACACACTCCTGCACACTCCTGTGCCACATGTTTCTCATGGCACCCGTCTCCTGCCTCCTGTGAAAAATCACGTTTTCTTTCCTCCACGTCTCTTTTGTGTTTAAAACTCTTCCATTTCTGTCATTCTTGGGGATTCCATGATATTTTCTACAGAGCAGCATAGTTTTTCCAAGGGAACTCTCAAGTTAATCTGCATTTCCTTTCCTTAGGGCTAAATCGAAACTATAGTACATTTAAGCACCCGTGTTTCTGTTGCCCTCCACAGTCTAGAATTTATTCTAGGCTGCCATTAAAATGTTTTGGTGGTCTAGGTTTTGAAGCAGGGTCTCACTGGGTGGCCTTGGCTGGCCTGGAACTTATTACACAGACCAGGATGACCTTGAACTCACAGAGAGCTTCCCACCTCTGTCTCTGAAATGCTGGCAATCAAAATGTTCTATACTCTGTTGTTTAGATTTGGTATTATGCTGTTTCTTTTGCACAATTTCATATGGGATGTACTTATATCCATTATCTTAGTTTGAGTATCTGTATCACCACCTTATAATGGGTTGAATTTAAAATTCTAGATTCAAAGTTATCTCCACTTGAGAAATACTGTTATCTCTTTCTAAACTAGTGTTGTTCATGGAAATCTGATTTCAGTCTTTGTCTTGTTAAAGGCAGATAATCTTTATTCATGATTGTGAGTTCATCTTCTCTGGGGGGACTCTCAGAAACTACATCCTTGCATCATGAAGCAAAGGCCTCTGGTTTTCACTGTGGCTTCTACTTAATTTTATTCCTGTTGTCTTTTTGGCATAACTATGCTCTCAATTTAACTTCTATTTCACAGAATAATATCCTCCCCAAATGTAGCTTTGGAAGGTCAGATTTTCTTTGAGCCAGTAAATTTAGATATAGCTTAGTATAGGCACTACTTAAAATGTTTTTCTTTGTATTTATTCATTTCATGTGTATGAATGTTTTGCATGTATGTATGTCAGTACACTACATGCATGTCTGGTATCCATAGAGGCCAAAGAGGGTGTTGGATCCCCTGGTAATGGATGGTTGTGAGCCCTATGTGGTACACAAATCAAACCAGGTCTTCTATATGAGCAGCCAGTGCCCTTTACCCCAGAGTCATCTCTCCAGGCACCAGAATCGATCCCTGAGCATGGCGCTCACGAGGCTATTTCAGGATGTCTAGATTCCAAGAGACCAAGTGAGATAAAGAGGGCAAGTTTCCTACCACTACAGTCACCCCTTTGGAAAGGCAGGGGTACCCAGTGCCTTGCTATCTTCCCTAGGTGATCCAGCAGTGGAAAAGGCTGGTCCCCCTGAGCAGCGGTTAGAGACCACAGCAGCTAATAGACCACAGAATAAATTAAGATTGGGCTGAGCCTTCAGGTTGGCGAGAAGCAGGTGTTGTAGTAAATCTATAATTTAATAAGATTACTGCTCTTTCTAAGTAGGTAGTAATTATAACTGATTATAATTTGTTGTTGCTTGTTTAGTTTATTTATTTGAATCTGAATATCCCTGAACACACACGGTTGTGGTATTTGGAGATTTTCTCCGTGCAGAGAATAATTTGTAAGCAATAGAAATGGCATTCGTATGAATTGGTCTGAGTGAACTCGGAACGTGGGGGGTTTGAGATAAGACTCAAGTGAGGTTACAGGAGGGGGGGAGGTGGGCAGTTGTTGGATCACGTGCATTGAGGAGCATGAAAAGGAGATGTGTCAGGTGGCATGCCTTCTATGACAAGTCACCATTGCCACGGAGCTTTAAAAACATTACCGTTGCATAAACTAGTAGATCGTGGGTCTATTCCCCCACCCTATGTAACAGAATACAATCAGCCATCAGAAGTCCTTGAGCTGGAGAAAACGTATGGAGGAGATAGGCAGACACTGCATCTTTAGCCAGAAAGATGTCTTTTCCACTGACAAACCAAGACTTCAAGAGTTCAGAAGCACGAGCTTAACTGCGGGAGGTAAGTGGCCGGCAGTCACAGAATGCTTGCGTTTGGCGACCTTTAGGAAAATGTGCTCATCCCACAAAGTAACTAAGGTAGCTTCTGGAATGGGACTGCTTAGGGAGTGTGCATGCCTCTGAACGCTTCGCGAGAACAACTCTGGACCACTGCTGCAGCTGTCTACTCTTCTTAACAGGGAGGGAAAGCAGGTTCCCTTCTTATAACTGTGGTTTTCCAGGGTGCCGGGAATGGCCACCACACGCCCTCTCCATCCAGGAGCTAAGAGGACCAAAAGGAGCTGGTGCTCCTGCAACTGACCTCCTTCTGCCTTAAACCCAAAGGAGAAAAAAAGCAGAGTCTAAATAGGTGGGAGACTTCCATCCAGAGAGGCACATGCCCTTCGACCCTATCTGATACATTCTGGCAGGGTCACGGCTTGTCTTGTTCCTTAAATGGACAGCTAGCCCTGAGGGAGAGAAGAAATAGTCTAACTTAAAAGCCTTTCATTTTGAGAGCTGGAAAAATACTCATGTGTTCCACTCGGTGGCTTCACATGACAGGGAGAAACCCAAGAGTTAGTGTAGCCGGAATCAGGGAGGGAGCCCCAGAGAGCTGGACTCTGAGCATGGCCGAGCAGCCTGCTGGCCCTGGCCTGACCTCAGCTTCTCTTGCTGGTAGAGGCCATCCTCTGTGGGCCAGCAGCTTGCAAGAGCTCAGGCTGGAGGAGAGTGAGGCGCTTCTTCGACAAGACACTGTCCCTAATTGAATAAACACTGTAGAGCTGAATGTGACAAGAGATGCGGGGGGGGGGGGGGGGGGGGTGTTAATTAGTTGCTCTAATGAGTGGCAAGGAATTGTACTTACCCAACAGGCTTTTCCCCTTGCTCAGCTTCTGAATTCTGTTCATTTCATTCTGGCAAGGGAGACCTAGAAAATAATTTATGGAAGTCGGTTTCCAGATGGTGTGGAATATAATCTCTAATGATTGACTCCACTCTTGACGGGAAATGTGGGCAACGACACACCTGGGTGTGGGGTTGCTCCATATGCTGGTGACTGCGCAACAAAACAAACCCAAGCCATTAGTGCTGCTAATTTTAGGATAACTCCATATCACAGGACACTTAAAATAGCATGTGGAGGATACTTATATAATATAGGACACTTCCCACCTACACCAGACGAAGCAACACCGGGTGATTGGCTGGAGGATGTTTTCAATTTTGGCAAAGGAGGCATCCAGCAAAGCCCTCTGGGAGCTAAAAATTGATGCTAAGCCTTACTAGAGGGCGAGAATTCTGAATATACAGACAGCTAGCCAGGAGTCTCAACGCTTGGCCTACTGCAGCTCTTGTCTCATGGATGAGAACTCAGGCACGCCCGCATGGACACAGGAACCACGTGGAAAGGCGGTGAGCAAGCAAAGTCTCCAGAGGCTGACTCTGTCACAGTTCTCTCTGCCTCCTGAACGCTCAGGACCCCCAACATCTCTTCCCTCCCTTCAGCTTCTGAGTCCTCACCTGGGACATACATGTTGTGTGAACAACCACCAGGGAACTGCTGTGACAGACAGGGAACCACATGGCTAAGCGTGTGGATGACCTGGCGTGGACCTGTGCCGTCGCCCTAAGAAGAATTTACCACCAGTAAAGTGACAAATGACCTCGCTGGTATTTTATGGTTTGTCCATGACTGGCTTTTGTCAGTCTTCTCGGTTTGGCAGGTCCTGCTGTTGATTTCAGTGTCACTGTGGCACAGGAGGGAGTCCCACCCCTCTGCACTCTTAACCATATCGACAGCACCCATTTCTGTCTGCTACCGTCTGGGTTGTAAACCACCTGGCTCTCCTGCTGCCAGGTGAGAAAGAGTGGGCACCAAAATACATGCTTCTTACTTCATTCAGGATAAGAGAAAGACTGAAGCCAATCCTACTGTGACCAGGAAGGGTAGTACTTACTCTGACAGATAGCTACCATTTGCTTAAGTGTTTGAATGTTCTAGAGCTTTTTAAAGTCTTTACAACCGCCATCCAAGATAGGTACTGATATTATCACTATATTGTAAATGGAGATTCTCAGCCACGACAAAGCAGAGACAGTTGGTACAGAGAAAGATGATCAGTATGATCTAGTTTTACCATACAGTTGGTACAGAGAAAGATGATCAGTATGATCTAGTTTTACCATACTTCCTTGACATTTTCCTGCAAGAGTTTGGAAGAACAGCTTATTTAAAGAAAGAAAAGTTAAACGGATGGAAATCTACTTAAATGCAGACAAGAACAAGACAAACACATAAAGTATTTCTTTTTTTCATTTTTAAAATGAAAAATTCATCCTGGAAATGATTTGCTGCTCGGCGGCTGACAACAGGTAGTGAAGGGCTCGCTAAGTCAGGAACTGTAATGAAATCGTGGGCTGTGGGACAGCAGGGTTCAGGATGCAGACGTGCAGGCTTGAGGGCAAACGTGACACAGGAAGAAAACGGTAGAGAGTTAGAGAGAGGAAGTTCACCCCCAAAGCCAGGAGATTTAGATGAAACATCTCTGCGGAGGCAGAGAGGCTGATCAGACAGAGAGCCAAGGAGCAAAGTTCTCAACATAAACTTGAATGAGGAAAAGTTTCCCGGAAATGAGAAAGAATCTAATTCTGGAGTTCAAAGAAGCACACAGCACCTCATCTTAGCGATGTGACACACGCTGAACAGAGCTAAGGTGGCGTCTAGGAAATTAAGGTCCTTGAAAAGCAGAAAAAAAATCCCACATTTTTCTCTTCTGTTGCCTCTGGCCATGGTGCTTCCTAGGGGTGACTTAGAAAGCAAGGGGCTTATTCTGACCTAAAAGTCCAGGGGGCTGGGGTCCGTTGGGCTCTGGCAGGCACGTCATGAAGAGTGGAGCAAGATGGTTGGTGACATTTCCTCCATACACGGGAGGCCAAGAGAGGCAACGGGGCCGTGGAGAGAGGCTCTACCTTGTAAAGGTTCCTCAACCTCCCTAAGCAGCATCACCAGCTGGGAACCAAGAGTTCAAAGACTCGAGTCTCTGGGGAACAGTGCTCATTCAACCCAGAAGAAATCTCTCTAGTTTCCAGGCACAATGGAAAATGACTTCCAAGACAATTTTTGAGAAAAAATCTTAGAAAACTAAAACATCCATAAAACTGGAGAACACCACAGTAACTCGGGTTTCCCTTGGGTCGCAGAGGCTATCGGAACCTTAACCATAAAGTTACCAGACATTAGCATCTGCAGCAACTACAGCTACAGCTCTGCTCCGGAGAAAACTTGGAGCCTTGAACGTCCTTAACATTGGCCTATAAAGTCCAGGTATGACACCCCACCGTCTTTAAGCTTCTTTATGAAATAACATAGCAAATCAAACAATAACAGCTAACATGGAGGGAAAAATGAAGAGAAAAGTATACAAAATGAAAAGCCATTTTTCTCATAACTAATCTTGGATGCTATATCATTTCAGGGCACACCACAGTGGGCTCCCGGCTTCTCCCCACACTCACAGGCTGAAGGGGAGCCTGTCCGGAGATGGCCCTGTGGTCGAGCACCTAGCTCAATACCATGGGTACGACAGTGAGGAAACTCAGCCTGCCACCCCACCCTCAAACAGTGGGTCAGGTCTGTGCTGCAAGCATTTTAGACTAAAGTAAAACAATCGCTATTATTTAGCTCTAATCTGTGCTAGCCAATATAGTCAGAGAGGAGAAAGCAACAAACAGAAAGGGAAGGGGAAAGAATGTAATTACATTTTAATATTTAAAGAAAGATGTATCACTGTTTACACCTGGAAACACCAAGAGAGCCAACCTGAGATAGTGGAAACGAAGCGAGAATTCAGAGAGGGAGAGAAGGGAAGGAGGATTCATTTACAGTCGTGCCAAGATGGGAACCATGGTGACAACAAGCTGAAGACGACCTCCACCAGCTGTGAGCAGCCTCTAAGATGACGGCCTCAACAGCTTACAGCTGGAAGAAATTTCAAATAAACTGAGCAAATGCATCCTGAGGTTGAGGAGGGAAGAAAAACATGACTGGCCAGAGCATTCTGATATAAAAATTAATGGCAAGACAAGAGAGACCTACAATATACCAAGACCAAGGGTCAATCAACTGTGATTTAAACTGCTTTATTAACTGTGAATTAAATGGGATAGAATTGATTTATGGATATTTAGAAAAGTGGAACTTGGTATTCAGGAATAAACCTAAGACACGACATATATATCAGACATGCTATTGACAGAAGAAAGATTGGTCAATAACGGATAGAAAGGAGGCTAGGTAGTTATCCCCAGCTTGGAGCAGAAGCCAAGGCCTCCTGACTGTGCACATACACAGAGTAATGCAAAATCTGAACAAACACAGAGCCACTGAATTAGCAAAGGATGAGAAAGTCGCTTTACTGGATTGAAGTGAAAAATACCCTTCAAAGCCTAATGCAAGCTTTATAACTTAAAAAAGCATATAATAAAAAAATGAGACATGCAATTATGTAGAAATTTAAAACTTTCTCACTAACAAGAAAAATACACAAAGTCAAAGTTGGGAAAAATCTGCAATGCCAACCACTAGCCAAGCACTAAGCCCATAGATACACATTTTCCTACAGAAGACAGGACAAAGCACAACTCCAACAGGAAAAATTACACAAAGAAATTAAAATTATTTTGAGGAAGCAGAAACCCAAGAATGTCCCGGAGATGAACCAAGTTATCCAGATTCATTTGTGATAAAAAGGATGAAGGCAGTGTGGCATCCTTTTGTCCCACGTTGGCAACAGTGACTAGGTCTGACACTACCGTGAAGAAACAGTATTCTGTTTTTTTTCTCTCACCAGAAACATCTACTCCAGCCTCTCTGAGAGGCAGAGTGGCAGCTGCGCTGAGGTGTAAAGATGCACGCTGTGCACTGGGGATGGACCCACCACCCTAGGAATGTGCACACGAGATTTCCGTCACTGAAAGCTCTCCGGAGTGTCTGCGTTTCTGATGTGTGCCCAGGCATCTTTGTGCACATGCATACGAGCTGCGCAATTTAACACGATTAGTAGACAGACAGACTTCTAGTCCACTGGGTACAGCCCCCAGGAGGCAGAGACTGAAGGAAAGCCAGACAGGAAAGGCAACCCGTGGGAAGGCAGAACACGGCCACTGGTTGGGATGCTGTGGCAGGCTGGCTCCCTTGCCTGACTTTGGTGACATGAGACACCTGACATCTTTTCCTATAGTCCTTAAATCCGGTGTCTTTTGTTAGCTGCAGTTTGTCACCAGCAAAATATTGTAATTAAGGAGAGTTCATGTAGCAATGGAAATATGATCCTTTTATGTTTGCATAGTATTTTTCACACTGAGAATCTCATGGTGACCTTGAGAACCACACAGCAGAGGCTTTTACACACCCATTTTACATACGGCCAATGCTAAGCACGGGGAGGATGCTTTGCCAAAGGAAGGAATTACTCAGTGAACGGCCACCGTCATTTGACTCTTAGCTTCCTTAAAGTCATGTTAAATGCAGACAGGCACCTTGGGGCTTGCCTGCCGTTCCACAGGGTGTTTAATACCTGTGTCTTTCTGTGCACAGATCTCTGCCGGCCTCGGTGCCCCACCACTTTACCTCCTGGGCCTCCGTGCCCCACCTCCTTACCTCCTGGCTTCTGGAAGCAGTAGCACCACTCGTTGTTAGAGAGTTTGCCGTCCTTGAAGGAGTCACAGGAGTTAAAGAGGGGCTTGATGCAGGGCTCATACTTGTCCAGGTAGATGGCGTTGATCTCTGAGTGGTCCAGCAAGAGGTCATAGTTCATGTCCAACTTGTTGAACATCCAGCCCAGGGAGTCCTTGCAAATGGGCAGGATGCTGGTGTCAAACCCTGCGAGAGAAAGGGACAACTCAGCTTCTCAGACAGAGAACACATGCGGCTGTTCCCCAACCTGGTGCCCCAGAGGGGCTCCTCCCTCCAGGCTTATATATGAGACAGAGACATGTCCTAAAAACAGGAGCCAACTTTGGGGAAATATCTTCAAGAGAGAAACCATTCCCTGTGATAATGCATCTGTGATATAAATATGAGTTCCATTGTCTGCAAACCTGCCTGCAAGACGTGTCTGGGAGGAAAACTACAAACACACTAAAATATAAAGTGTCTAATACTGAAACCTGAGCTTATTTTTTTTTATGAAAAAAAATGAAGACTCAAAATACTGGAGGAAGGAGTGATAGTTGGGGAGACAATGGCAGTTGAATGACGCTCCATCTATCCCAGAGGCCCCTGCGCCCAGTTCAAGCCTAGAAGGTAGAGCACCCAGGTCCCGCCTCTGTTCCCTTTCTTCTTTTCTGCAATCCCCAAGGAGCCACAGGAGATGGAATCCAGACCAACTCAGACAAGCATTTGTTTCTTATTTCCCCAGGGAAGGGGATGTTGTTTTTCTTAAAGGATTGTTTCCACACGGAGACTGTAAAAAAACCCACAGGAAGGGTTGCTTAGACTCAGCTCCCCGCTCTGGAAGGCACAGCACTGTGGACAGACACCAAGACCATCTTTCTCTCAGAGCCAAGGGATGACAAAGGCTCGGCTTATCCTAGGCACTGATCTTGAGGACTGGCTTTGTTTTCCTAGGATGCTACAGATAAACATGTTTCTAAGCTATAGTCTACAGACCTCATTTTTCTCACTAAATCCAAGGAGCACCCCTGTGAAATGCTGTCATCTCTACTTTGTAGATAAAGAGATAGCAAGCTCATGTGACTTCAGAATTGGGATTGGAACCCAGGCAGCCCAGTCTCTCCCAAGTGCTCTCCTCTGCTTTCTTTGAAACATTTTTACTGAAATCATACAACTGACTTAGGGTGTCATGACTGGGATACAGTGTCTATAGTGTAGGGTCCTGATGAGACGGACTGTCCGCTCCAGTGTGCCCTTCACTTCTGGGTATACCATGGGGGCCTTGATTTAGTAGGACTCATAGAGGAAGCAACATCTTCATGGCAGATTTGCACAGAAATCTATACAAAGACTTCAGCAAACCTGTGAGCTCTTAGCAGAGGCCAGACTACCCCTCCTCCCCCACTACTGATGCTCGCTAATCCACAAGAGGCCTTCTAAGGGATGACCTCCGCTTTCTCTTTAATAGCCTCGGCACTTTTGGCACACATTATCAGTAAAAGTATTTGCTTTCCAGCTCCAGGAGTTCCCTACCAGTCAGCTTTAAGTTTACCCTTCCGAATAAATCTTCACATATTTAAATTTATTCATTTTGCTACCAAAGGATAACATCCTTTACATTTTTTTTCCAGATGAGACTATGGGGTAGGACATGGCCTCTTCTTTAGTTGCCATTATGATTCATCAGCAGAAGATGAATTATGTGTGGCTTAGTCAAAAGGTCAAGCCTGCTCTACCTCATTTCCTCAGAAAAGGGCACCTGCACCTGGCATCTTCAGCTGTCAGAGACAGAGAACGGAGCTTGGAGCAAGGCTGGGGGGCTGCCCTTTCAGGACTTAGGGACTTGACAATGTGTTGCTCTTTTCTCTGGCCTTGTAGGACCAAAGTTTAGTTCCTCCCCAGCATCCTTCCCCACCCCACCCTGCCCCGCCCACCTTGCTGGCTTCAGGACACCACACCTACAGAGGCTTCAGGGACTCAGTTTGCTCCTAGGTATACTAGTATTTCCCAGGCTCCCACCTGTCTACAGAAAGTCTCTGAGGGCCGACTGGAGGCTTCCAGGATGTTTCTTCCCACCAGCCTGCTTTCTGTGCAGAAGTTTTCTGAAAGCCTGGGGCTGGGCTGCTGTTGGGGGACTCACAGACAAGTCTTTCTAGATGGAAATCAGTGTTCGTTCACAAACTGCCAGGGAACCTCTGGGAGGAACTGGAGGGGGTAGGGAGAAAAAAAAACCCAAACACCAGGAAAAAAAAGGACCAAAGAAAAACCTCTCTCACCTCACCATCCTACAGACAGGGCTACCAAGAATATCACCCGTAAAGCAAGTGCCATCTGCCGGAAGGCCAGGGAGTGAAGGCTTCAGACTAAGCCATCCTTCCATCCTCAGTGATCTTGCCAGGAAGCTATGCGTGTCCAAGAATTACCAACTGTTAAATCATTGTTTTTGTTCTTGAGACAGCATCTATCCCTGTGGCTCAGGCCAGTCTGGATCCTGTCTATAAGCAATCCTCCTGCTTCCCTAATGTATGGGAAAGCATGGGAACAACCAAACTTGTCCAGCTGGGTGACAGAGTTGACACAGCACCGTCTCACCTCCTGCCTGCAAGCCAGGAGCTCTGCTCTCAAAGGTCCATCCAAACCTCTGGAGGGAAGGGGGCTGGCTAAAGACTTTGACCAGGGCATCTCAAATGCACTCACAGCCAAGGTGCCTGTGTTTGAAGGACCAGGAGGATCAGGAATCTCTATTGCAGCAGTTAGCACAGCTACCTTGGAGTGCAGAGCACTGGGAGGTGGTGTAGAAGTGTGTGTGGCCTCTGCTCATCCCAGAGTTAGTGGGGAAAGAGGGAAGGGGTGCCTGTTTTGGTTTCTGGGGAAAGTTAAACATAGCTGCCAGTATACACAAAAGACATGATCTGAGCTGATGGCTACACTGTTGCCCATATTAGCAAAAACCCACAAGTCCCAATTAAAGGCTCCTTAAGTTGTTATAGCCATGATTAGGATCCTATTTGGAGCCTGCAAGAAACTACTCAATAACATGAAATCATAATGATATTTCTAGGTGTTTACATTTCCAAATGGTATATCAGCCTGCGAAGTGTGCAAAATTTTCAACACATATGCATTTTCATAAGAGTGCAAACTTTCCAACACACATGCATCTCCATATTTAACATGGAAAAGGACTGTAACATGTGTAAGTTATTAAATGGGTAGGTATTACTCTGTGTGTGTTTATATTTACACACAAATAGACACAACTTTTTCTAAATAGTATGTTTTCTAAATTATCTATATAAAGCATGACCTCTTTGAAATCACATCTTTTTTTTCCAAAATAAAAAACATATTTCTCCTGATTCTAAGCATCACCCTTCTTTAATAATTTAGTGTTTCTAAAATTGAGACTTGTTTTAAGCCTTTCTTTAGCTAAACCCACATGACTGATAACGGAGAAGGGATACTGATAGCGAACTAGCAAGAACAGAGTGGGCTTACTGCCTTGGGCTGTGTCAGAGCTGGTAGGCTTGATGACTCTGTTGGCATCCTCGTGGAGAGCCCCGAACCAGTCCTTCAGCCGCGAAGCAAGGTTCCTTAGCTCCTTGTCTGTGCAGGCTGCAGGGGAGCACACAGAGCAGACAGTGAACACCCAGACTCTCAGTGTACAAGGTCATCGGCCAAGCTGCATTCAAGGCGATCCTCCTTGCCCAGATACTCTCTCCTCTCTCCTTTCTCCTCTCTTCTTCTTCTCTCTCTCTCTCTCTCTCTCTCTCTCTCTCTCTCTCTCTCTCACACACACACACACACACACGGGATGCTACTGTCACGAGTCAAACATGGGACAAGGAAAGAGGCTGGATTCCCAGGGCAGACAGGTTGTTGGGACTTGGACTGTCTCCGATAAAGCAAGCTGCTGGCACTTCCCATTTGTGCAGCGTCCCCCAACTCTGACTGACATCCCTTTTGCTGAGCACATAAAACTTGTTATTGCAGTTTAGCCAGAGAACATGACACCTTCCAGTGTGCTCACACTGAGAGATTGACCAGCTCACGCTCCTAGAGAGAAAATGCCTAGGGCATCATGAGAGCCCAGGAGGAACAGATTCCCCATTTTGTATTAGGACAAGGTAGACCTGTGAATTTGGCCTCATGTTTTTGCCTTCCAGGTTCACATTGCAGCTCTCCACAATCCGGCTGGGTAAGTGTCTTCACCGTGGAAGAGCCTTTTCTGCCTCAGGCCTGGTCACCAGTATAATGTATGACGGAATGACGGGGGTTGATACTGACAAGGACAGGAAGAAAGCCAGGCTGATGGGTGGCAGCAGATAACGAAGTGGGTGCCAACTATTTGAGGGTTCATAGAAGGCTACAGAAGACTTGGGAAGGGAAATTCAAAAGGGGATAATGATGGAGAGACAGGAGTGGAATCTGGGAGTCTCTCTGCTGTTCTCTCAGCGCCCAACTTCATTCTAAGGGAGAGAATCTTGGCTGGGGGCCCAGGCAATAGAATGCTATCAGGACACAGGAGAAGAAGCAATTGTCTTGTGTCCTTCAGCAATTAGAGAAAAGTTTAAAAACCATGAGGCCAAGAGGAACCAGGAACTGACCTTCATGACTGCCAGCTTTTCGAAGCTCTAAAGCTGGCATAGAGCAAGCAAGCTAAGAAGTTGAGCACACCACCATTCCAATGTGGAGCTAAATCTGGTCCTGTCCCAGTGTTGAGAGGACACAGCTGGTGGCTCAGAACATGTTGATGTCCCAAGCTCTCCTCTGGAGGCCTCAGAGGGCAAGGATGGAGGTACAAACTGTCATCCCAAGCCCACGCCAGCCTCCAGAAAGCACAGTGATCGACTGAATCCCAGTGCCCGGCCCAGCAGACAGCCTTGTTGTCAGGGAGAATTCAGAGGAAGGTAGTACATGGTGGGCAGTTTCCTCATTTTACAGCTCATGTCCACTGAACCATGGGTTGGTGCAGCGGCCAGCTTCGCAAACCTCACACAATAAAGGTCTTTCTCCAACTTCCAAACAGGTGTGGAACTGCAGACCCAGGCTGCCTTCGTACGACCTGTTTCATTTCTACCTTCACCTCATCTGGGATGCAGGCTTTGGTATCACATGGTATCCTGTGCATATGCCCAGATGTTGATACCAAGTTATTAAACCACCCAGAGATGCTGCTTCATCCTTAACACACGGACCTGACTATAGTGTCAGACACAGGTAGGAAGTGAGCAGACTTTCTTGTTGGTAGTAGTATGTCACACTGTGGGGTCACTCTGCCTAGGGTAAATCTCAGCTTCACCACCCACCATAGTTCTATCCCCAAATCCCCCGAGACCTCAGTTTCCGTATCTGTAAACAAAGGACAATAAGGTCACAACAAACCCGACGGTATGGTTCAAGCTCTTAACAGATTACAAGATCGTTTGATACATGTGCCAGATAGATTTTTAGTTCTTGCCCATAATTATTATCTTAAATGGAATATTTAGAGATAGGCTTAGTGCAAGCAAGTGTTGTACATTCCAGAAAATAAAGACTAAGTCAAGTGCAAATAATCAAAACTGACTTTGATACCTACAAACTATGTGCAAGCAGACACCTGTGTTACCCTACATAAGGGAATCAATATTAAACAAATGTACAAACTAATTCCTCAGGCACATGTCTCATCCAAAGCTGCTCACTCCCCAGCTGGCTGAGCCCTTGCACTGGCGGCACAGGATCCAGATCCTTCCACCAGTGCAGGCTGCCACACTGGTTATAACCAGGCAAAAGTGACTTCCGTTCTGATTTCTACCCTTGCAGAGGCTTTCATGGTAACTAGCTACACAAATGTCTGTCTCTTCTCCTTTCCTTTGGCCTTTTAAAATGGATTGAGAAGGAAGACAATAAGCTCCCACAAGCCACCTCCCAACACCTCTGCTAACCTGTGCTCACACAGGGAGAGAAGCGGTTGCTGCTGAGGGCAGAGCGGTTCTTGTTTTTGCCCCAGTATGGAATATAATTGCAGGGATGTGCTCACAGTCATCCGCTTATCAGTCGTAACCCAGAGCCTCTGGGGACCAAGCCTGTGCCTTTCTGACCTGCCCAGCTCTAAACGGTAGTGTGACTGTCCAAAACCAGGATATGGACTCACCAGTCAATCTCCCATTTGGGAGCTGAAAAACTCATTTCCCCTCTACCGCTAGTACACCATCCATTTAGAGTGTTCTGAGCAGAGAAAATTGCCAAGTCAACTTGCGATGAAATCACTCACACACTGAGATAAATTAGTCAGCCATGTTTAACTAAACCCCAAGACAGGCAGGTAACCTGCATATTCACAAGCCTGCTGGAGTCGACCCCCGCCCCAGGCCTCTCAGAGCCCAGAGCCCACGGATGGCTGAAGGAATCAGGCCATGCAATCTTGAAAGAGTGAATATGTCACTCAACTGCCAAGTCCAGCAGCAGGGAGCCATGGCGGCATGGCTGGAGGGAGATCAGAGAATGGAAACAGAGATAGAAGACACCCAATTATTGGGCCAGTTCCACGGTATCTTCAACTGAGTGGTCTTTGAGAGGAGAAAGCCAGGCACAGACTGCCTGGAGCATGATATATTTCAGAGGAATAAGAAGGGACAGATGCCTGCAGAGAGCTGTTTGTTTGGATTTGGCGCTCCAGCCACAGCTCAGGCTGGCTGCCTCTTAAGGTGTCTAGCACTCCCTGAGATGGTGGGACTAGCTGGAAATCACAGCTTCGGAACTGGGAAGCCAGAGAGTATTTCCCAAAGTAATGTTTTCCAGTCTGGAACTGCGAGCCACACCCACCTGCCATTCCTGTCTGCCAGGAAGAGGGACAGTTCTTGTCCCTGAGGAGTTCTGCCTCACCCCCATGCCCACGTCTCCTGGTGGGAGAATCAGTCTGCAGAGCAAAGGATGCTCTCCTGGAGACATCTGTTTAAACCAGGACAACCAGGACCAGCATGCAGGCATCACTGAGGTCTAGCGTTTCGGTTCTGCTCCCTCCCTGTCTCTACCCGTATTTCTGTTGCCCTTTTCCGCTAGGAAGTCTCTGCTCAGAGGCCTCTGCTGCAATCCTAGTTCCCTGTCGGGTCACTGCATCTTTCCTGCATGACTCCATCTGCTCCAACAGGACCAGGGCGTTGACAGTGTCCCTGCGATTCTCTGACAACCCCTCCAGCAGGGCCACATCCAGGAGGCAGGAAGTGGTACCTTCAGACATTTGCCCTCAGAGCAGACATTTGGAAGCTGCCCTGGATTTCTTCATGTTCCTCACCTTCCCAGTCAGCTGGCCACAACAGGTTTGTTTCTGTCACTGCCTTCACTGCCTAGTCCAGTCCATGGCACCAATGTTGCTCCCACTGGGTTAGCCACGACAGGCTCCTACTCTCTACAACCTCCCAACCCAGCAGCCACAGTGACCATTCTGAATGGGACACTGGGTCAAGTCACTTTCTTGTCTGGTACTTCTGGCTCCTGGGGTGCTCTGTTAGCTGAGCCTTAGTCCATGGTATAAGTGGCCTGTGGGATCAACCCATAGTTTTCCCTGCTCTGGCCTTGCTGCCCTTTCCACTCTTTACCTCAATGTCCCTAACCCGGTTACCTTGCCCATGATTCCCTTACATCTCAGTTTTAAGGTTATTTCTTTCCCGAAGTCTTCCAGGCCAGTGCCATCTCCCCCTTGATCGTAAGAGCTGCTAGCCCTCAGCATGGAATGCAGCCTGCTACCTGCTTGAAGGATGCTCTCATTATGTAGCTATTGGCAGACTCTCATAACCCTCTCTCCGCCTCTCTCCGCCTTTTGTAAACTGTGGTTTTTCCATCTGTGAAATGGCAAATAGAAACTTAGCTGCTGGCATCATTGCATAGAATCAGATATCGGTAAAGCATAGCTCACAGCGACTGGCACGTAGCAGGGACTCATATCCCAACTGTCTGCATGATATGTTGGCATTTTATTGTTATGCTTTATTTTTAAGTCCGAAGAGATAGGGTTGATATAAAGAATAACATTTCCCCTCATTTATTTTATAGCTGTGCCAAGCAGAAGGCCAAGAGACTGGGATTTCAATTTCTGTCTGCCTTCTCCTAGTTGGATAAGCAGTGAGATGGGTGATTGGTGTGACTTCCCCGCACCCACATTCCCAGCCTTATTGTAGGGGGTATGCAGTAATTGTTCAAAATATATTTATGGGAAGAAAACATGAATGATTGATTGAGCCCATTGGTTACAAAATCCCAAGTCAAGAGCCACACTAAGTGGTAGGATTGGGGTTTGAAGCTAGGCTGCTCTCTCACAGAGTTGGTTCTACACCAGGAGGGTTGGGGGAAGCAGCTTCCTTGGATAGACTGGGCTTGTGGGTAGCCAGCAGTAATGAGTGCAATTAATAAACCTGGTCAGGCCTTCACCTGCAGTGGGAGCTCCTCCGGTGACACAGAGAGCAGCTGGCCCAACAGTTCAGGATGGAGAGGGCAGCGAGGGAGGCTCGTGCCTTCATTAGCCCTGGTGTGAGAACGACGGTCATTCGGGAGAATGGCAGAACAGGCTGCCTTGTGTCACAGGCGCAGTCACCAGGGCTTCATTAGGAAAACGAATAGGGCCATGGCACATT